GCTCACCAGGCTGGAAAAGGCTACAAAACTATTTTCAAAGAGTTTGGATTCCATCAGTCCACTGTCAGACAGAATTGTGTACAAATGAAGCAATTCAACACTTGTTATCCTCCCCGGGAGTGGTTGACCAACCAAGATCGCAGCAAGAGCAAGATATGTAATACTCTGGGAGGTTTCAACCCCAGGGTAATATTTAAGAAACTAAAGGCCTCTCTTGCATTGGAGAATGTCAGTGTTCATGAGACCATCATCAGGAGAACACTGAGCACCAATAGTGTGCATGGCAGGATTGCAAGGAGAAAGGCGCTACTTTCCAAAAAGAATATGGCTGCCCATCTATAGTCTGCAAAAGACCATGTGGATAAGTCAGAAGTCTATTGGAAGAATGTTCTGTGAACGAATAAGACCAAAATAGAACTTTTCAGCTTGAATGAAAAGTGTTATGTTTGGTGAAAGGCACACTGCATTCCAGCATAAGAACCTTATCCTATCTGTGAATCATGGTAGTGGCAGTAACATGGTTTGGGCCTGCCTTGCTGCTTCTGGACCATGACAGCTTGCCATCGTTGATGAAACTATGAATTCTGAATTGTATCAGCAAATTCTACAGGAAAATGTCAGGGTATCTGTCTGTGAACTGAAGTTCAAGAGAAGTTGAATCATGCAGCAAGACAATGACCCAAAACACACAAGTTGTATGACCAAAGAATGGTTAAAGCAGAAGAAAGTTAATGTTTTGGAATGGTCAGGTCAAAGTCCTGACCTTAGTCCCATAGAAATGTTGTAGAAGGACCTGAAGCAGGCAGTTCATGCAAGGAAGCCCACCAACATCCCTGAGTTGAAGCTGTTCTGTAAGGTGGAATGGGCTAAAATTTCTCCACATCAGTGTGCAGGACTGATCAACAGTTATCAGAAACATTTAGTTGCAGTTGTTGTTGCCCAAGCGGGGGTACACCAGTTACTGAAAGCAAAGCTTCAGACTTTTTGCCACACACAAATATGTAGCTTTGGATCATTTTCTTCAATAAATAAATGAACAGGTATAATGTTTTTTACTCATTTGTTTAATTGGATTCTCTATCTAGTTTTAGGATGTGTGTGGAAAATAGATCATGTTTTAGGTCATATTTATGCAGAAATATTGTAAATTCAAAAAGGTTCACAAACTTTTAAGCACCACTGTATGCACACAGTACAGCGACTGACAACAACTAGTATCTCACTTTATATCTGATCATCCACAAAACATCTTTATGACATCTAAGAATAAAGTTCTAGAAGAGGGTATGTACTGTATAACACACTGAAGGAGTGAGGAAAGCATCAGCTCTTAAATTCAGTTGCAGAATTTAATGCAGTTTTTGTGACTTTTTGAAACTTCACCAAATTCCAGGTTAAAGCTGATGATCTTAGCAGGAGCTCTGGGCAACATGACTAGCCACCAAATGAGACCTGATTTCTGAGTGTTTTATTTTTTTCAGACCAGATTATTCTCCCTTCCTGACTCTTGATTGGAAGGAGTTTTGAAGCACCTTTTCCAACTAACAAAGCTTATTAAAAGGCATAATCTTTCTTGACTAAAGCTTACTTCATCAGATGCATGGAGTGACAAAACCATGTAGAATTTAAATCAGGATAAGGTGGGGAGGGGGAGATACTTGTAATCTGTCTCACATGTCACATACATCTGCATGAGCAACCTGCCTTCCACTCCCTCCTCTCCCCGCATCTTAATTTAAATCCTACATCTGTTTAGCCACTTCATGCATCTGATGCAGTGAGCTGTAGCTCACTAAAGTGAATATCTTTTAATAAGATTTGTTACTCAAAAAAGGTGCTACCAGGCTCCTCCTGATTTTTGGCTGCTATAGACTAACATGGCTTTCCTTCTATAGTGTCCTGACTATCGAGTAAATATAAAATGCTAACTAATATTGGTGAATTGACTTATCGGGTAATGCCATATGAAACAGTGAATATGTGTTGTTATTCACTATCCTGCTAGCTTTTCAAAGCAGATCTGAAATTGAACTTTACATATACATATACGTATACATATACATATACGAAAGCAGGTATTCCATAGTAGCCATAATCCTAGGTGGTAGACAAAAGTTGTGCTCAATTCATATGGGCTTATATCAGATTTATGGTGCTAGCACTAGGGGAAAAGCAGTGAAGAAGTTTTTCTAAAGTTTACTTTAGGAACAATCCATTAACTATTACACTAGTCAAAACATCTTTTTAATTTCCCACTATTTATATTTCTCTCTGTGTGTACGTATAAAATGATGTTTTTTGTGGAATATGCCTTCAAGTATGGAAAGTGCTAAAATAATGATCTGCTATTTTCTTGAACATATTGAATTTTATGGCTTAAGTTGCAGAAGTCAACAGTTTTTATCTTTAATCTAGGCAGCTTATGATCCATGCAAAATGGAACTTGCCAGCCAAATATGATAAATTTAGGATGAAATCTGAGCAGCTGACAGATGCCTCTCTGACCACCATTCAACCAAACAAAAAGGTTAGCAGAGTAGTCAATCAGTTTCAGGGAAGAGTGTTTAGAAGCCTTCATGATGTACGATTCCTTACATTATAAAGAGCAGACAAATTACCTACAGAGAATTTAAATACTGCAAACATGCTAGAAATTAAAAGAAAAGGAAACAACTAGAAAAATAAACTTACAACTCCAAGAGAGCTACAGGCCAGAGCTAAAAACTTGAGCCATTCAATTTCTTCAGTAAAACGTCCAACGTTCATGATACTGTCAAATAAATCTGTAGGGAGATTGAGCACCTTCCACATCTGGGCTAGTTCATCAACATGGATGATTAGCCTCCCACCCACCTGAAAAGAAATAATATCCATTATAAGTGAAGAAATTAATGAGGATTTATAGGTTGCAAGCATTTCTTAAGGTTTTAAGAAATGCATCTTAAGGATAGCAGAACTGAGATATAATTAAGGAAACTGGGATGCTTGTGTAACTATTGATCACTTTTGGAATTGTGTTACTACTGTTTTGAAGCAAAGAATGGGACAAAAATATCATAATGAGCAAAACAAGGACTGTCTTCACATAATGTGCTAAGTCATAATGTAGCTTGTTTGTTCTAGGCTTAGCATGGCTGACACCCACACAGAACCCATTCAGAATATGGTTCTGAATTGAATTGAAAATAAGCAGAGAGATTAGTATTTTTCATCCAAGCAAAATCTAATCTATTGAACTATTATCTCAAAAGTTCTTTCAGTATTTGAGATTTATTTGGACCCTCCCTTTTGCTGGGGCATGGATTTAAGTGTACAAAAAAGAAAAATATCTTTGATATAAGATGCCGCAAGGAGATACGTTGCAGATTTCCCTATTCTGAATGAGGCCACATTCTCTCATAAGGAGCATGTATGGAATATGGAAGCAGTTTTGGATCTGTATCTCTGTTTAGTTTCCCAAATAGAAACAACAGCCAGAGGCTTTTTATCAGCTATGGTGGATGTAACAACCACATCCCTTCCTAGAAGAAAATGACTTTAAAATGATGGTCCATATGTTGCTAACCTGCACCTTAATTACTGTAATGGTCTTTATATGGGCCTGGGCCTGGTAAAAATTTGAACTGGTACCAAACCTGCTCTCAAGTTGGTCTTTGGAAGAACAGAGACCACATTATATCAATGCTAAAGGTATTATAGCAGATTTGGGGGGTGGGGGGATAGCAAAATAAGTAATGTTTATTACCTTTGAAGCTTATAAGTTTCAGGTTCAAAAGACTTGGGAGAACATCTGTTTCAGTAGGATCCTCCCTTCCTCACAGAAATCATCTTGGGGAGGATTTTCCTACAGTGGCTCTGAGCTCATTTCATGACAACTTGGAAAATCCCAGTTCTTTAGGGGGCATATCTCTTTCACATTAAAAGGCTCTAAAATCTTGCTTTTTAAAACAGGGTTTTACTTTTTATTTTATGTGTAATATTATTAACAACTCTGGTTTTAATTTTGGGTGTATATTTATTGTAAAATATCAAGCAAAAGTGGTAGTCCTCAATAAGTATAACAGTCTTCAGTTAAATATCACAGCAAATAAACTCATAAATTTGTCTCCCAGCCTTGCAAACCTCTCAGAATTTTAAAAAGTTCCAGGTTGGATCAGGAACTGGGGATAAATCATATGTGTTTCCACATGCAGTAATGATCTATATGCACTACCGTACACCTATATGAGTGAACATTTGGATTTTGAATGAACTTCCAATTCTGAAAGCTACTTACATCCTCTGAGAAGAAATTAATCAGATTAACCACTAGCATAGGATTTAGAAACCAGGAGGTCATAGATATACACAAAATGCTTCAGTCATTATTTCTCTTTTCTGTCCCAAAATGTGTGTAAAGGGAACAAGTTCCTTGCTCCAGAAATGTCTACAAAAAGAACTATATCAGGCAGTCAGGATGGGTGAGTAAAGGTGAAGTCCAGTAAAACTTCAGTTTAATAGATTAATTGGATGGAGAATTGTTTGGTATTCCTGAATGTCCATTACATCCAAAGTATGTGATTTGCATCAGGTTACACCATTTTTGTGATGATATCATTATGCAATCATTAAATTGATATAAATGATTTAAATAGCTGCAGATATCATAAAATTAAGGTAAAATGGCCTCATCTGGACTACTTTGGATGCAATATCCATTATTTCAGAGGAGATGTCCAGATGAAAATTTTGTCTGTTCCATCTCAAATTCACTACATGGGTGTTCATTAGGTTTTATTGTACTTCTAACTTCTTATACAACAATTGCTGCAAGCATTGGTTATGATTACATGTAAAAATAAGAGTTACAAATGTTACTTTAGTTATATGTTTTAAGCTCGACATTTCCAGATCCATTGTCTCATCTAGCAGGGTCTCTCTTTTCTTTATCATATATACTGTATGTTTGCAGCTTTTCTGATAACTGATTCAAATTAATGCCAAACTGTTAATGTGTATAGATAACTAGGGAGCTGGTCTTTTGGATCTACCTATGTGATGCCCAGAACTTCAGAATGCTGCCTTCCCACACTCCTTTCAGATAGTAATGATCAAGCTTTCATGGTATGAGCTGATAACCCCTATGGAGTTGTATATAAACTTGGTGAGTACTTATATGTATTTCCTTTTTCAAAATTAGAACCTACAAAAAGAATTGCTTTCCTATATACAAAAAACTGCACAAGATGATATTAAACAAATGTTGAAGAACTATGGGAATCCTTTAAATAATATTTAAAAATATGAAATATTATTTCACCCTTTAGCAGTGCTTTTAGAACTTCTTGTATATCCTGGACCCAAAAAAGGCAATGCACCTAAAGTTAGTCCAAAAGCAGGTGTGTCAAAATCATTAAAAAAAGGAAACAAAACAATTGAATGCATGTACACTCAAACCTCTTACGTTCTTGCCCCAAAATGGAAAATAGATGTTTCTTACTCTCTGGTGTAAGACCTTCAAGAGCTCTGGAGTAAGCTCTGCGTAGTTTGATAAAGGCACTCTATCTGATCGTTCTCTTACAGGAGGAGCTTCTCCACGGGCCATGGCATTAAAATAACTAGGCACAAAGACAAAACAGGTGTTTTCCCTTTATCAGCAGCTCTTAACATAAGCATGATCGGGACATTGGCTGACTGGTTGCTTAGACATTCAAAAGCTTGCACTTGTTTGCATTTCAGTTGGTTTATTAAAACTATTGTCTTTATTTCAAATCTTTTGCATCAGGGTTATTTTTTTTGTTTTTTAATTTGGGTGCTGTTTATTTTCAGACTTACAAACAATGAACTGAAGCACAATGTGAGCTATAATAAAAAAATATCAGCAAAGTTTGATTGGTGACTTACAGATTTTGAAAATAAACAGTATATATTTTAGCAAAAGAACATGATCTGAAAGCACTTGATGTTGCTATGGTTAGTAACATGATAAAAAACATGAAGGAAAATTTGTACATTATAAGTACACACAATAATATAGAAGAGATCAAGTATAGTACTTCAAGAAAATTGAATCATGTATAAAAAGATTAAAATTACTGGAGATAAAACATTACAAAATAAAGGTCACTGAAAGTGAAAAAAAACCCAAAATGTCTGGTGTGGACTGTAAAATTTCCTGGGTTCTTATTTTCTTCCAAAGTAACATCATGTGGGGTTGTGAGAGATTTAGACTGGAGCTGCAGCAGTGGGAGGCAGGAGCATGACTCTCACCTTGCTTTATCTTTTCCAATCAGAGTTGACTCTTCAAAGATGCTTTTTACATGATGGAGGAATCAGGGAGGGACATAAACAAATATCTCTGAAAATGTGGATAGGCACTTCTTCCGAAAATGCAAATGGCAATATTTTAAAACTAGAGGCTTATCTGTGCTTATTGAGCGAAGGCAGGGGGAGGAGGAGATATTTCTTCCAGCAGCAATCCCTTGTACCACACAGGTGCTTCTCTACCACAATCTTGTGAGAACATTTTCAAGAGCACTCAGGCTGCCCATGAGATTTTCAATACAGTGAAAGAATTTTAGGAAGAAAAAAAATCTGGAATACAAATGGGTTGTATCAGAGTTTTTGTTGGCTTACAAAGCCCTCATCCCCAGCACTGTATTCAGCTGAAATGAACTGACAAGAAAATAAGTAATATTCAAGTAAATATATTCATAACTGACTTTTGTAAGTTCCAAATAATTTGTGCTATTATTTCTTTTTTGTTTGCTTTTTGAGAAAAGTAAAGCAACTCAGCTTATTTTTAAAATCCATAGAGAAAGCTAAGAGCTGTTTCCCGCTTTCCCGTATTTCAGCACACTTTTAAAAATGTAACAATAAGGAAGGAATAAGTAGGTTAACAGCCTTAGTCGTACTCATGCAACACACAGCATTCCCTGCTAATAGTACAGACAACATATTAATCAGTTTTGGCATATTTTGGCTTGTGTACCACAAGCACAACCAAAGCCCAGTTTTATCCCAAGCATGCTCACACTATTCTGTATGAATTGTGATACTGAGTATGCACCAATATGGAGTTGAAAGTTGGTTGCTGAATGAGTTAAGAGCAGTATAAATGGAAGTAAAGCATGCCTGACAATAAATAGATGGTTAGCAAATGGTTCTGCATTAAAACAACTCTTTAGTTTGTTTATGAATAAAAATTTAAGGAATATTTGTGATGATATTATAGGTGTGTTCTTTGGGGATGTGAATGTCTGAATTGTGTATGTGGCTAATGACTTATAGCAAATGTTAGATTGTATGATGCAATGAGGAGTATATATCTGAAAATTAATACATCAAATATCAAGATAATTGTTGACAAGGAAAATGGAGCATGATTACAAGTTGTACATAAATGGTGAAAAACTAGGGCAAACAGATGAATTTGTGTATCCTAGATGGGAAAATGTGAGAATTTTAAGATTCCATATAGAAAATTACTAGATATTACTGTATGTGGTCTGTTGCAAGAAATGAGCATTTGTTGAAAGAAATGTATATAAGAGTATGCTTCTATCCATTTTATTCTGTGGAAATGAGAGTTGGATATGTTGGGTTAAATGGAAATAAAAAAGTATGTTCACTGCAGTGGGAATTAGGTATGTAAGAAGTGTGCGTGGTAAAGCAGGAAGATATAGGATCAAGAATGAATAGGTGTTGAATGAATGTGGATTGAATACGAAAGGGAACAACCAGTACCAAAGAAGTAAGTTAAGGCAGTTTGGCCATATAGAGAGAATAACTGAGGAACAAAATGCAAATATATGAAGGAAGACAGTGGGTCAAGAGGAAGACCAAGCCAGTCATGGTTGGCTAGAGTTGATGAGATCCTGAAAAAGAGAGAGATGAGAAGTTTGAAGAAAGAAAAAGCAACATACAAATTACTGCATAGATATAATGGAAGCAAGGATGGTTTGCAAAGGTAAAAAAGCATGCAGAGATATTGTGGGAGTTAAGTTGAAAACCATGGTTGAAATCTGGGAGAGGTGGAAAATAAAATAAGTGGGCTTAAACTGATGGAGATATAAGAGAGGATTACACACTCAGTTGAAGGACACTCAGCTTTCTTATGGCTTCATTCAAGTTTGCATTAAAGATTTTTATCTATCGACATCATTTCCAGTGTGAGAGCTCTGCCAATTTTGGGCTTGGCAGTTAGTTAAGCTATATAAAATCAGGAAACTGTGATTTACAGCTAAGTCCAGTTCTGGAAACCTCATAGCTTCATTGGCCTTTCTTTACTACCACTGTTATGGAGAAGGGGCATCAGGATTAGTATGATGGCAAATAAACCTCTGGAGATTCTGCTATCAGTCAAGGAGCCAATGCCTTGTTCCAGTAGCAGAACTGGGTAGTTATACAGATGGATCAGCTAGCCCAACTGTGAACCAGCTAGCCCAGCAGAGGATCTCTGACATGAGGTCCAGGCTGATATATCTGCTGGAGCTATTGCTACTGTCCAATACCATATACTAACTACCCCTCCAGAAAAATATGGGAGTCCAAGCAAATGTACTTTCTTCTTTACTCAACCAAACAGGATATCTCTCTAAGACAAGAGGATTTCACTGCTGATGGTGCTCATATAATATTTTTGATGGGCCTAATAATGATAGAGGGAAGCACAAATTGGGCAACTGCCCTTCTTATCCAAGCCAACCTTGTTTTGCAGAACTAAGTAAATTTTGTGGCACCCTTAAGAGCTAATTTTGATAATCTGTGATTTATAGCCAACTCCAAGTTTTGAAAGCCTGACAAGTATAGTGAATGGTGTTGATTTATTTTACTGATTTAAAAGACTTACATGGCTGACCGTCTTATGAAATACAACTCCGGACAGCTCACAACAATAATAAAACAAACAATAAAATGAAAACCTGGCACCTCAACTGTCCTTCTCTGATGTATCCAACAAAACCATCCGAGTCTCCAACCTCACCCTATCCCAATGGTTGGGGGAAGAGCCAACTCTTTATGGTCTTCTGGAAGGCTAAAAGGGTGGGGGCTTGCTGGATCCTGGGGGAAGGGTGTTCCACAAGGCAGAGGCTGCTCTGGAAAAGGCAGGCTTTCTAGGTCCCTTACTTAAGTGTTGTTGTAAACTGGATTTGATTTCTTTTGTCTTGTCTCCCGCCTTTAATTTCTTTTGATTACTACTTGTTACTCTTTTTCTGCATATTGCCTATCCCAAAAGGAAATAAAGTGAAAGGTATGTATATATCTGTGTATATCCAAATGTCAGTAAAAACTAATGGAAAGTATATTAGCAGAATTCAGGAAGACTTGTTGATCATTATCCTAATCTAAGTTGCTTTCTGTTCTTCAGAATCACAGACAACTTCCAGCTATGTTCCTAGAGCTCTTATTAGCTCAAATCTGAGAATGTGTGTATTATTACTATATTATAATCAGTTTTAACCATATTCAATTCTTCAAACCCTGTTCACTTAATGCAGTGGTGGTTAGTATGGATCATACTCACAAGGCCTAGGTTGAGCGCCTTATATTCATCAGAAAGTGAGAATGGGGTTCAACAAGCATAGAAACCTATGTTCATAGGTTCATTACACGCAATGAAGGACAATGCTCATACAAGAGTCCCAATCCCAGAGGAAAGTTTACATTCATATAGCTGTATGCACATAAGAGCTCCATGCACTTTGTTTGCATGGATGGGGATGGTGAGAAAGACTGGTCAGCAACTCCACTCCCTCTTTTGTACTTTCAGTGAAATGTAGTGGAATATGTGAGTATGGCTGTTAAGAAGGCTGGACAAGTATGAAAGAATGCAGAATTACAATGGCAAGCCTTGTTCATCCTTAAATGGCTATGTAAACAGGATGGACAATGTACTGTAGTTACAGGCAGTTCGCTCAGCTGGAATGTGAACAAACTAACAATTTATTTCACGCAACTATTTTGTTTAGTCATTATTTTATTGGTTGGTTGTCAGTGTTGCAGTATACTTGATAGTAATTTTTTTTTTTTTGATGTGATAGTTAGAAGGGTTGTGATTACTTTCTCTGTCCCCAATGTTGGTGTGTGTGTGCATTGCATGTAAATGAAAACTCTGTGTGACTCTATATTCAAG